CGCACAGTAGCTGCCGAACAGCTCTTAGAGAGTGAGGATATTGAACGTATGGATTGGCCGGTACGATCTCCGGATCTCAATCCCATCGAGCATGTATGGGATTTTCTAGGCAGACGCTTGGCAGCTCGTACCTTACCACCAGTAACGATTCGGGATCTTCGATTGGCGCTGCAAGACGAATGGGCAGCAATGCCTCAACAACTCATTGACACCCTCATTCTCAGCATGGGCAGACGCTGTGAAACCTGAATAGCAGTCAGGGGAGATCATATCCCCTACAAAAGACCGGATGTTTCTTGCTGGACACCCATCACAGGGATGTTTCGGCCTTCAGTCGCATTGCGCTCCATGCTACTTTTTCAATAAAGTTTCTTTTTATCCCTCTGATTTCTCTTTTATAAGTGTTGCTTACATTACACATGTCCTTACGTACTGGGGATCTTACGGTATTAAATGTGTTGATTTGGAAAGCTTTTGTACAAAGTTATATTGAAAAAACCGTCTTGTCCTTAATTTTTGCACACCAGTGTAATTACGAGAAAGTTCTTCGTTATTCGATTACTATAATTTTGAAATGAAATCATGAGTTAAAGTAAAATATGATAACAGTAGTCAAGATAACATTAGTATTTTTTTTTTACTGGTATAGCCGTACTTGACCAACTCTTAGACATCTTGCCTTCATAATAAGGTTAGTTAATCTCTGCTCAATAGCATAGTTGAAATTGTTTACTAAATATTTCATTCATATTATAATCCTAAACATATATCTTATTTCAACTCACACATTCATAAAGAATATTAAAATCACCCACACAAAGAAAACTGTTAAATGAATGAAAAACAAATAAAAAAATTTTTCATATAATTTAATAATTCTTACTGATTTCCAAATTTAAAAAAAAATTTTTTTTTTTGAGTACATGAGAAATGAAACATGATGAAGCAACAGGCAAGAAATGTAAATGTAAAATAATCATAAGGACACATGAATAGAAGATAATGAATATATGCTTCATTGTTGAACAAGAGAACAATATTTCAAATACAGCAGATATAAACTTACAAATTACAAAAGCACTTATAAAGACTGAACAGAACAAGAAATAGTTAAAATATATTTAGAAAGCTTCGCCCGTTTTGGCACTTGATGATTTATTTTTCTCAAACTCATTACAGGTGTTTCATCAGGTTCTTCTTCTCTTAGCATGTGCTCTAGTAGTTGGCTTCCTTGTACCTAATCTTCCAGCAGAATCGCATCTTTCAATGAGAAATCGAGAAGCTCTTCGTACAGGAGAATTTGCATAATCGCTTGGAGTTTGACAGTTTCCTTTAATGTTAACATTTATGCTGAAGGTTCTGTTGACCCACGTAATAGTGCAGTCACAGTTAAGAGGGTTATCTGTTGAAGAAATAATCAATTTTCACATAAAGTAATAATATTATAACAGAAAGGTATCGAATAGTCACTTATACGAGAAGGAATCGTAAATTACTAAAAAATACTCGCGATAGAAACTTAATTTTTGTTATCCTTAAAAATTTTCTTCTTAGTCGCCCTCCAGAGTTATATACAGTAATATCTCAATTTACGCTATACCGACTTAAGCGAATTCGGAGGCATGCGGTTTTTAAATCTCGTCGACTTTTCTTTTGCATGAGGAAAAAAAATTGGTAAAATTGATAATCATATTGAAGGATTTGCCGATCTTGGTCAGGCAAATAAATTTAGAAGTGGACACATTGATGACGTTCAAGAACTACTGGATTCCTACAATCAGGTGCTGACAATTGATGAGCTAACAGATAGGCACGAGCAAAAGCAAGGCATTGAAGAAGTCTGAGTCTTCAGACCCAGTTCAATTAGGAGATCGAATGAAGGTTGGAAATTTGATAGAAGGGCTCAGTTGAATGAAAAATGGACTACAAATTTGAGAAAATATAGACTCCAACGATGAGCATATTTTTTCAACAAAACAAGGAATTAAAAAATTATTAGCATGCTGCGAGGAAATTTTGTGGGAGAAAAAAATCTTTGAGCCGGTATATTACTTTGTTAGATTTTATGAACCTTCTACATCAAAATAACTTCGGCTTGCGATTTTGCATGTGTTATCTACGATTTTACTCTCTTGTCATTTTTTTTTCAAAATTATTATTTTCTTTTGTCTCTGGCCCTAAATAAAAATAAAATATGTATTTATTTGCGAAATCATATCCCGACTTACGCGAATTCAATTTACTCGGTTATCACTCAGTTCCACTTATCGCGTAACTTCGGGGTATTGTTGAATCATATTTTTTCTCGTTAACTTTTCGATGGCCGTCATTTTAGAACCCAGCAGATTATATCGAAAACCTTTGTTCCATCTCCTAAATCAAAGGTCGCCAAAGTGGTGGTCCGCGAGAAAATTTCGCTGGTCCCCAGAAAAATGGGGAATATACTCACTTATCATGTGGGTTATGTTATAAGATGCATTGATTGCGTTCTTAGATCATAGCCTTTTTTTATAAATGTATTTAACATTCACAAAATCCTATTAGTGGTCCGTGGGATTTAAACAATGATTTTACTGGTCCGTGAGGTCAAAAATTTTGACGATCGTTGTCCTAAATGATATTATTTGAGCTTTAAAATTTTCGACCCTCGATGTTGTTTTGAGTTTAAAAAATAAGAAAAAGTCGCTTTGGGAGGATATTGGGAGAATAGGACGTTTATGGCAAAATTTTAAAGGCACGTCACTTTGATTCTTCAACCGCATCTCGAGATGAGTCAGCTGTATCGTTAGTAAAATGATTGATGCCTTTGGTGATCATACCACATCATTTCCTCGTCTGAGCATCGTGTAATTTGTTCAGCAACGAGAAGTAATACGCCAGTTAAGTTGACTAAACGACAATCCTTAAAATATAGCATTATCCTCCTAGCAGATTTCAAAACCTTAGCTTACTTGTGAGGAGGTAAGTCACTATGTTTCAATTTATCGTTCATCTCATTGGTCTCTGGATCATATTGATGTATTCAAGATTCATCCATAGTTACCAGATGACCAAAAAAACATTCCCCACCTTGCTTCAAATGATTCAACACCTTCCTTGTCGAGTCGCACAGCGTTAAGCTTCCAAAAGGAGTCGCAATTGTGAAACGCAGCGGGCTCCTGCTTTTGACATCTGCAGTTTTTGGTGAATAATTTTTCATACATTTCCGTAATCAAGATCAATCTCATTCATGTGTATTTGAATGGTCATTCTTAGGTATAATTGGATTAAGTCATCCACTTTCTTCACTGTAGAGTATCGTCTGAAAGTTATGGTCTTTCACTTGTTACATCGTCTGTGGAAGATATGTGACCAGTTTGAAAATTCTTCAACATCATCGCAATGTCATATGATTTGCTATCATTTCCATAACTAGCCATAATTTCATCTTGACTTTGTTGGGCACCGTAATCTTTCAAATGAAGGAACTAAATCTGCAAACCTCTGCCTTCTCTCCATACTGCAGGTTATTTATTCAATCAACAGCCTCCTCTATCTCAAAAAATCAACCCCAATAACGATAATTTAGAACATTATGTACGTAAGGATTAATCAATATGCAAAAGAAATTTTATCCAGATATCTTGGTAATTCCGAAATATTGATTGCTTCGTCATTCCATAGAAGTTAAAACTTTACATACATACGTAATCCTGTCATTCGTAATTTTGGATATCACAATTGTCAGATTTTTATGTTATATATTTTACCTTCTCGCTGCTTATTGAAAATCTTGTCAAAATTGATGTTTCTTTGAAGAATATTAGGCATTTTAAAAAAAATAAATAATGTTATTAATTATACAATCAGTTGCAATTCACTTTCACGGGACTGCAAAGCATATTGGGAGAATAATTTGATGATTACTTTATCAATGATTAACAGCTCTTGGAAATGTTATTTACGTCTTGTAACACAAATTAGTTTTTAACTAACAATTTTATGTGTTTTTTTAAAAAATATTTTGTTGGGGTGAAGCGAGTGAACTATTTTTTTGGCGGAAGGATAACTGTGTGACCCGCCCACGCGCGTTTTCCCGCTTCACTCCCACGCATTCCTTCTACGAGGTTCACTAACTGACCGGTCGCTGTGTGCTTTTGGGTCAAACTTGCTGTGTGCAGTTTCCGTGATCGTTTTTCGTATTTGTATATAAAGAAATGTACTGTCCCGAGATACCTGTGTGTGTGTGTGTGAGTGGAAGTAATTTCACAAAAAGAACAACACATTTATTATAAATTACTTGAAGATAATTCTTGAAAAAAGTCACTTATAGACAGAATTTGCAAAGAAATTTTTAAAATTGATTTACTAAAAGCCTATACTTACTACTGAGATCAATATGTATAAGACTCTTTGGGGCTCTTTCCCATTCACTTTGTTTCAGTTCTGCAATAGCATTATTATCAACTTTAAAAGTTTTCAAGCGTGGTAAAGAGGGTAAAAGATCAACACCAATTGTCCTGATAAAATTCCAGCTAAAAAAGAAAAACTACATTGTGACTATATATTACACACACACACATAAAAATATGATTTCGAATATAAAATCGTATCATACCTAATAATTGGATTTCTGTTTGCTCAAGTGATATGAATTTCTCTCTTCATAAATTGTAACATATCATAGATATATAACATAACTTAATGCTTATTGTGGTTCTCAAATATTGATTTTTGCTTTGTATTAATATCATTACTTCGTAATTCATAGCTTGATTTAAGGAAAAGTTCAGTCTTTTTTTCCATTCCTACTATTAGAGAGTTTACACTCTCCCTATGTATGTATGTTGCATATATATATATATATATATATATATATATATATGTATATCTTGTTCAAATTTTCAATCGTGTTAGTAAAATACTTTTTATTCCAACCACTCAAATTAAAAAATGAATAAATAGAAACAAACAAAACTAATAGTCCAATACAATATATAAAAAGGAAAATTGCTCATTGTGTCCCTTTAGCGCAATTGATAACACGTTGGACGTATAATCCAAAGTCGTGGGTTCGGATCCCACCAGGGATGGTCTCATTTTTGAGAATGTGATTTCTACTAACTGGACTATTTTATCGGAATAATTAAATTAAATTAATGAATAAATAGAAATAAACAGCAACAAAAAAATATTTTCCATCACCATACATAGCAAGGAAAATCGCATTCTATTTTGTCACTTAATATTGTGATTCTATCATATGTATATACATATTTATATTAATTGTAATTATTTAATAAAAAGTAGCTAAAATAAAATTTTTCCTTGTTGATCTAAGTAGGAATTGACTTAAATTTTTTTTATATTACTTGTGTGTGTTTTTAAGTAACTGCTTGTTGTAGTCACCGTGCCGCGGTACAATTGTGTGGCACCAAGTTTTTTTGAAATTATTAATTATGCTCTGAGAAAAAAAAATAAAATACGGAACAGAATCAGTCGGTCGTGTCATAGAAATAAATTAAGAATATTCGTGGTATATTTAACTCATTCTTTCGAGGAAAAATGTAAGTGTATTATAGATAAGTAAAATTCTTTTAAAGTTATTTGATTGTTAGTGTACCGCCAAATTTTGAAATTGTTAAAAGTGTACCACAACAAAAAAAGAGTGTGTGTGCTTATGATCACACGATAGAAGTGACAGCTTCAAATTTTGTAATGTTATTTTCAGGGATTAGTAAGTGAATAAAAAACAAAGGGATATTAGTATTGTCAGATAAAATTATTTATTCATATGTTTGTACCCATAAAAGAAAATAATGAAACAGCGCCCCCAAAACCCAAGCCCCCTTCCCCAATTCATCTTAAAATTAAGAAAAATATCAGAGACCAACTTAAATCCATTTATCAAAAATTCCCAGATATCACTAACAAATCGTCAGGAGAATTTATTAAATTAATCACTAATGACATAGAAGAGTATCACGCTCTTACAAATTTTCTTGAAGAAGACAAAGATTTTGAATTTTTATCACTTAAACCAAAGCCAATAAAACCAATCAAAATAGTCATTAAAGGACTGCCAATTTTTACCAAAACTCACGAGATATATCTAAATATTATAATAGTCAATATGAATTTTCCACTAATTTTTTTGCACTAAAGTAGGTTCTAACCACCCATAATCACTAATTAAATAATAGTTTATTCTGTTACTTTAAATTTATATACAAGAATATCTGTTTTCAATTCCTTCTATTAGTTAACTCTCTTCCTATATATATATATATATATATATATATATATATATATATATATATATATATATATATATATATATATATATATATATATATCTTATATATATATATATATATATCTTGTTCAAAATTTTAATCGTTAATAAAATACTTTCTACTCATACATTCAAGTTTAAATTCATTTTTTTTAAAATTGTACTGTATGACACGAGATGTTAATAAAGTTTTTTTCAAATATTAATTCATTAATTTAATTAAAAAATGAATAAATAGTCACAAACAAAAAGAATAGTTCAACAGCATACATAGATAGGAAAATCATTTGTTGCGTTCCTGTAGCACTCTGGATAGCGCGTTGGACTTCTAATCCAAAAGTGGCGGGGTCGAATCCCACCTGGGATGGCCCAATTTCTGAGAATGTGATTTATTTTCTACTATACTATTTTATTATAATAGTTACATTTAATTAATGAATAAACTGAACAAAAAAAATAGTCCAGCACAATATATAGAAAAGAAAATGGAAAATTGCAAAAAAACCGCTTTCTATTTTGTCACTTAATATTGTGATTCTATCATATGTATATATGTACATATTTATACTGATTGTAACCATTTAACAAAAAGTAACTAATATAAATTTTTCTTTGTTGACCTAAGTAGGAATCGACTTAAAAAACTTTTTTTTATATTACTTGTTACATATTTACACTTAAAGAACCTATATGTAACAAAGAATGAGACCCTTACCTTAAATCAAGATATTCTAACTGGACATCTGGAGCATTAAACACGTGATCGAAGAACTCGATTGCATTGTGGGATAAATCAAGTCTAGTCAGTTTGGGAAGGTTCTTGAAAGCATTTGAATCAATTTTGACTATCTGGTTGTAGGAGAGATCCAAAGTAATCAGGTCTCTCATAGCCATTGGAAAAAAGTCAAGACCAAATGAGATTAATCTTCCGTAATTAAAATGAAATTCTTTCAAACTAGTCATACAACCAGTCCATGATTGTTTATTTCCTCTGCCGTACTCGCACAAAATGCATACTTTGTCCGAAGAAGAACTGTTGGAAACTTTGAAACTGAAACACACAAAAAAATCTTTAGAAAGGAATATATATTCAAATCATAGAACAGATATATAGAGCTTAAGCAATTAGTTAAATATCCTGTCTTTTATCTATTATGTGTTTCTAAAAATTTATCTTAAATTTAATATATTCCCCTAATTTTATAGTTCATTGGGTTTATATGTAGAGTATAAGAAAAAAGCTGGATATTAAAAGCATAAATGCAACCTTATACATATTTATACAGAGTTTTTACTCGAGTCTAAACCAGTCTTTTCCAGTGTTAATGCTACTAAAAATCGGGTGTGGCTTAGAATCCAAGGCAAAAATATACGTTAAATGAGGAAATTGAGTTTTCACCTCTTTCAAAAGGAAAAATGTAACCATCCATTCTGGTCACTTTCATTGGTGAATTCTCACGTTTCGCTGTTTACTTCCACTATCCAGCCTATCCTTAATTTCGATGTCTGCTCGGATTTAGAAATTTTTTGGTTTCTGTTTTTACGCTCTCTTTTAATCTTCTATACATCACAGATATCGGTAATGGCATCAAGACGAGTTTACTATGGAGAAAATGGAAACAGAGCAGTGGCTAGAAAATTTGATATGGATGAAACAAATATACGTCGATGGCGTAAACAATGTGATATGATTTCGGTTTGTAAATCCTCAACAAAGTCTTTCACTAGACCAAAAGGAGGATTGGATGGCACCATAGACATTGTATGGAAAAATGGAGACGCCGGCACTTGTTTCGAAGTCAGCTGTGACAGTGGAAGCGACGAATCATTTTTAGAACAAGGTATTGACAGCTAGAGCAATCACAGGCTCACGCATGCATTTAAAAGCTTTTAATATCAATAAAATAAATTATTTATTCACTTATTATTAGTTCACATTTAAACAATTTTTTAAAATTTCTTAAGTATTGGATATCAATAAACCTTTTACACTATTTTTTCCCCTCAAATCGTGTGGAAGATTTGGGGTGCGACCTAGAATCGATGACAACATTTTTTCACAAAAACATGTTGAGAATTTGAGATGCGGCTTAGAATCGATGGCAGCTTAGATTCGAATAAATACAGTATATACATATATCAATCTCATTTTTCCTAAACACTTAACACAATAAAATATGTTGGATAAATAGGGGATACGTAAAACAATTATCATCATATACTATTTCTCATGTTATATCTTAAAGTGGATACAGGGATAACACAGTAGTGATTTCAGTTTTCCTCACTTTCCAGACAAAAAGTGAAGAACTATGTAATTTTCTCCCTTTTAACTAATGTGGATTATTTTATGCACACGTCGAATTCCCCTGAGTAATAATATCAGTATACAACATGTGAGGTTTTGTGTTAAAATATTGAGTATCTATTGCAGTAAACAATTATGATATAACTGTTAAAAATTACGGCAATTAGAAAGAGATTTTAGTTATTCATTTTTACAAGCGAATTCACTGTATTAAAGAATATTTTTGAATAACATTCTTCAGCTTGATGTCTTTTTTAGATAAATTTATAATTAAACACTGCATACGCACCACTCATTGATTATGAAAATATAACGCAAGGAAAGAAGATATCTAGAAATGTAGCACTAATATTACATGCACTGCTGAATAGTGAAAATTCAACACCAAGGAGAACGGCCAGAAAAGATTTGAATCGCAGGACAGACGAAATTTATCGAGTAATATAAACGATCTAGAATGCATTACTGCTCAGCTCTCGGCGATTTAGATAAAATGAAGTTACCATCAGATTCCATAATAGAAGTGTCGGTTTGTTGGCGAAGAAAGTAAATTAATGAGCTGTTTATCATTGCAGAAGAGATATATACAGATAAAACTTGCTAGAAGCATTCAAACAGACAAGTTCACAGGGATTAGTTCGGTTCGTCTGTCATATTGAAGACGACAGTCACTCTTTTGTGCACTGGTTGTGGTGAAGCTGATTGGAAAAAGGAAATGGCTAACATTCAAGGAGTGACAATGCAGCCAGAGAGACGTCAGCACACGTGAACCAATACATCCGCCAGAACGCTTTGAAGACCATAGAGTTGTTGAAGCATGCACATGATCTCCTCGATACTACCTGACCAATCAGGGCCATTATCCGTCAATAAGGCTTCACTGCCAGTGACTTGCACTCATGGCGTATGTTAAGCAGATTACCATTTATTAAGTAGAACTAACGCTTTTGTTTGCAATGGTATTAGACTAGAACCACGCGGAACAAATGATAAAGTGATGTTCTCCAACCAGATATACTTCTGTTCAGCAATGGCAGTCACAACGAATGAGACTGGTGTCGATGTGGTAAAAGTTCATATTGCGTGATTAGTCAAACTTGTGTGACACTTGCATTGGAGCGACAATGTGAGGCAATGGGGCATCATCACCTATGATAACTGATCCGTATCGATGGCTCTACAATAGCCTAATGATATGAGGATAATGCGCAATGGCTGTAGTACTATTTCATCCAGGTGTACCTGATACTTCTAGCCAACGAGATTAGGCCCTATATCATTTGACCAGTAGTAGTAGCAAGCTCTTACAGGAAAATAGGTATTTTGGCCACAGGGACATCTCGAATACATCAGGATCGTGATTAGTCACCGTTTGTGGGAAATACCACGATCAAGCTCGGAGAATGAACTGTTACAAAATATTGAGAAAGAATGATCGTTCATCCGTCAAGATACAATTCGAACGGTCATCGACTCTGTCCATGACATAT